AAAAATCACAGAAAGCAAAAAAAAAATATGGCCGCCTTACTTTGACTTTGAAGAAACAGACTTTGGTTCAGGACCGTGTGGTTCGAAGATAAAGTCAGGGAACTGCTGGCAGAGAAACAGAGGTGGTGATGGAGGAGGAGTTAACAAGACCCAGGTGGAGAAGGTTAGGTCGTCAGCATGGAGCGAGACACAAGAGGCAGAGTAGAGACAGGTAGACAGGCTGTGGACACAGGACGGACACAACTGGGATTAAAACATTATTGGATTTGCTCCTGACCACCTGTGGGTCCTGCCCCTCACTTTTGTTTTTTTGTTTCCTATATTTTTCAGTCAGGTTGTGTGTTGTGTAAATCATATCATATATAAGCCATATATTTGGTGTTTCCATAGCGTAGCGGTTAGCACGCCTGCCTTTCACACAGAGAGCAGAAAGTCCGGTGTTCGATTCCCAGAGGAACCGCATACTTGGCGCCTCCCAGGGGCAGCCTGTTGCAGCACATCTGCTGTTGACACAAGAACCCCCCCCACTGTGGGATCAATAAAGTTCATAAAATTAAAATTAAACAAATATAAAAAAGCAGCGTAAGAGACATATTTTGACTTTAACACCAGTGAAACGACAAGTTTCACATATTTACTCTGTTAATTTCAGACTAATAAACGGAGCAGTGAAAGGACATTCCTCTGTGTTTCAACCTTGGATCTGTTTCCAGACACACTCATCAGTTTTCTGCTCCACTGTTGACACCACTTACAGTCTGCCTTCAGCTCAAACGCTGCTGAGTGCTGTGTGATGAGGTGGTAGTCTCAGCGTCTGCTGGATCTCTGTAGTGCCCTCGGTGATCTTCGAGGGCAGGCGCCCAACTTATTTATAGTTCCAGTGTGGGTGTCAGAGGAAACGGTGCTGTGGCTGAGGACCAGACCTTTGAGCGTTGGTCTTAGGACCGAGCTCGTACCTCGGACCGAACTGGGCTCATCATCAGGGCCGCAGAGGCAGCAGCAGAGCTGCAGTCGGACACACATGGCGGGGACTCGGAGCGTCTTCATGAAGCCTTCACTTTGGTAAACACACAGGCACCTCATTGATAGCACGTGTGACATTCCTCTATCCCATCACAGTATCCCGGCTCCGCTCGGTTTGTTTTCAGATCCCCAGGCCTCCGTCAAGCTGTGGGAGAACCGCGCCACCTTTGACACCGAGCTCACAAACACACTCCATTTGTCCAGTCCATCTCTTTTATCCTCTTCCATATCCCTCTGTGTACTCGCCCTCTTTCATCCTCTCTCTCTCTTTTTCTCTCTTGATTTACTTTTCAAACAAAAGACAAATAAAAAAATACTGATGCAGCGTTTGTACCACATCAAAAACACACAGCGGTTATTGATGCTCTTTGACGATCGACGCTGCGGGTTTGTGTCCTGTCCAAGGATCGACGGACGCATCACGTCAAATCAGCATCACTTAAAGATCAGTGGTCGAACTAAAGAGATGACACTTAGCACAAGCAGCAGAAAAAAAAATCTTTTTTTTTCTCCAACATAATTAAATGTACTTCAGAAATATAAGTTTATTACATTTGTACAAATGTAAATAATCAACATAAAATTCTACAGAAGAAGACCCTGATGGATCGATTAAGACATTAGATTCATTTTATGTAAAGACAATTTGGCAGAAGTTGTAGTTGTTTAATTTATTTTTATTTTCATATTTAAAATGACAACTGTATTAATGCTGACAGGCAGCAGATGATTCAGCTGTTTGATTCCTCCAAACCCCCAAAATAATCCTTCCTAGGTTTCTCTGTTCTTACCGTCCTTCTTGTATTTTTTTTAAATCTATTTTTGACGTTCTCTGAGAAAACCAAAAAAAAAAAAGGGAAAGCCTGCATTTGAAGGAACCTGGAGTCAATTATGGAACCCGAGATTCACCCATTGTCTATAACTTGGCTTCCTGACCACCAGTGTGGTCTGTGCTTCCTGAAATCTCAGTGTTTAAGTTCTTATTTATTTGTATAAGTACAAATCAGGCCCAGTGTGGAGCTGAGTGTGGAAGGAGAGGAGATAAAGCTCCAAAATATCCAGAGATATTTAATTACCTTAGAGCCTAATTACAGCATGCACAAAGTTAAATATGTATGAAGTCAGAATTGTCGCCGCAGTCGTGACTGGGGAGCGGCTGTGAGAACCGGCTCGAGCATGGCTCTTCTCCTTCTTCTTCTCCTTCCCTCCACCTGTCTCTCTCTCTCTCTCTCTACAGTAACTCTGAATTTTGCATGACTGCAGCAAACTAACCTCCTGACCTACTTCCACACTTCCCTGATATGTTCCCGTCGGCAGCAGAGTGTGGTTCAGACTGAGGAGCAGCTTGGCTGCTACAGCACCACCAGCGTTAATGGGAGCAGAGAAGGCAGCGCGCTGGGTTAGAAATGACCAGGGGACCAGGGACAGATGCAACACAGTCAGCTGCCGGTTCTGGCTGTTAGTATATGCTTTCAAACGAACAACAACACATCGATATCCGTTAGTATATGCTTTCAAACGAACAACATCAATATCCTGGGATGTGTTTAAGGATCAAGTATTTGTAAAGAAAGTACACGTAGCTTCACTGACTCCCCTGGTGGCAAGAATGTTTTTGTTTTTTGAGAAATCTGTCAAAATGTTTCTTGAAGAACAATATGTCAATGTCCATAAACTTCAGTGACCAAGAGATGCCAGGCTTCCTCACCTTTTTCAAAAAATAACTGTCATCTCCCTTTGGGAATCGAACCCAAGTAAATGTAGAGTTGAACCTTATAAACGTCTTATAAGGAAATGGAATCATTAAAGTGCAATCTGGTTCATCTTCTATAAATAGTTTGAACCTTTAAATTCTGACAAAATGATGGCCTCTGCCTACACCCCCACCCGCCCCCCCGTCCCCA